GGTTTCGTGGGCCTGGACTTCCGAGTCGGAGACGGGCTCTGACTCGCCCAGCATCCTCCAGCATCGTCCAATGATGTTCTTGTGACTTGGTTTTCGCCGCCAACCGTGCCTTTCAAGCTACAGTTTGGTCAGAGAGGTACCACCCACTCATCTGATCGCTGAGATTCCCTCAGTGCAAAAAGAAAAGCGTGAATTCGACGCGACGACGAGCCCATGACCAGTCCACGTTTTATATTCGCGCGTGCGCGACCGCCGTGGCCCTTACACGTGGGCGCTTTATGCCCCCTTACCCCGCCCTTGTGTACCCTGAAATTATTGCACGGCTGTGTCGCCACCATGAAGTTCAGCGTGGGCTCGTGGGTTCCGCAGCGAGCCACTGTCATTTTACCCCGCGTTTACCCCAGACCCCAGGTTCCCTCGGGGCGGGAATATGATTTTAACAAAGGGCAGATCAGCAAGCCAGATAAGCGCACGATCGGTCCCGTCCCGTCGAGATCTGCTTTGTCGATCTTCTCGGTATTGGCCGCGGACCGCGGTTCCTACTTACAATCCGAAAAGCGGCCATGTTCATCTCTTCCCCACGCGACGCATATGCGAGTACTTGACCCATGACCCAACGATGGTGGCCTGTGATATAATGCGAAGGTGATGGGCCTTGCACTCTACTTTGTGTCCAGCGCGAACTGACCTGGCAGCGCGCGGCAGCCAATCGAACGACGGGCCTATCGCTTGGGTTTGGGGGAACGACCAATGAACCGTCTAATTTAGACCATCCGCTCGCGCGTATAAAGGCTTCCCGATGTCCGGATGGTGGGACAAGGAGTCTTTTCGACGTCCTCCTACCCATCGTTGTCCTCACTCACGATGAAGGCCTCTGCACTCGGCGCGGTTCTCCTGGCTCTCGCTGCGCCCATCGCCGCCGTACCGACACGCAGAGCGTCGCCGACGATCGCACTCGACAACGGCACCTTCGTGGGGACCACGTCTGGCAAGGTCAACAAGTTTCTCGGCATCCCCTTCGCGCAACCCCCGTAGGGACCTTTTTATCCCCATCTGTGTCGCCTCACGATTGGCTGACCAACGTCGTCGGATGCAGTGTCGGAGATTTGCGATTCAACCTGCCCAAGGCCACCGATCCTTACGTCGGAACGCACACTGTCACGTCGTTTGGTCCTGCGTGTCCCCAGCAGGCCCTCACACTCCCGCTCCCGGCCGGTCTCGCGCAGGATGCTGTCGACTTCGTGGTCAACACTATCTACGGGGCTGTTTTCCCGGACGACGAGGACTGTGAGTGGCTGAGTCTCGGATTTACTGTGGGTCGCTGAACGGGGAGGTTAGGCCTCACGTTAAACGTCGTTACTCCCTCCAATGCTACACCAGGATCCAAGCTGCCTGTGGTCGCAGTACGTTTCACCCCTATCCGTTTTATTATTATTTTCTCACTGAGACTTTTTACAGTGGATCTTCGGAGGTACGATTGCGTCTCGAACGAGCGTCTCCCGCGTTCTAATCAATTTTTTTTGAATAGGGGGCTTTGAAATTGGCTCGCCGAGCTTGTGCGTTTGCGGAGCACCCTCCCGTCTCTTTGTATGCTGCTAACGCTTTAAGTTCAGGTACGACGGCAAGGTCATCGTGGAGCAAGCCATTTCATTGAACCAACCTGTCATTTTCGTTAGCATGAACTACCGCGTTTCCGGTACGCACCCCGCCGCAATCACGGTCAACCTTCATGGATGCTAACGCTTTTGGCTCTAGCCTTTGGATTCTTAGCGGGACAGGAGGTCAAAGATGCTGGCGTTGGGAACTTGGGCCTACATGACCGTGTGTTCCGTCAGTTCAATTGCACCCGTTGCGTTCTCATTCCGCTTTAGAGCGCCTGGCTTTCCGATGGATCCAAAAGTACATTGGCGTGTTTGGTGGCGACCCCAGCAAAGTCACGATGTGCGTTGCCTCTTTGATCTCCGTGGGCTGTTCGTTGACGTCGCAACCCGTTCTAGCTGGGGGGAAAGCGCCGGCGCCATCTCGATCGGTCTGCACATGGTCGCGAACGGCGGCGACACCGAGGGGCTTTTCCGCGCCGGATTCATGCAATCTGGCTCCCCTCCACCCGTCGGCGACATCACCCATGGTACGCCCTATATTCGTCATTATTTTTGCTCGACATCCCATCACGTCTGCAGGCCAAAAATACTACGACGCCATCGTCTCTGAGACTGGCTGCTCTGGATCATCCGATACCCTTCAGTGCCTGCGGGAGGTCCCGTATGATACCCTCAAGAACGCCGCGGACAACTCGCCCAGTCTCTTCTCGTACCAGGTGCGTTTTGAACGTCGGCGACCTCCCATGTACGGCACACTGACACAGCGGATTAGTCTTTGAACTTGGCATGGCTGCCTCGCGTGGACGGCGTGTTTGTGACAGCCCCTCCCCAAGAGCTAGTCTCTCAAGGCAAGGTTGCGAATATACCCTTCATCACCGGTACGTCCGTAGAATACACCCGAGTACGTCCCACGATGGTTCATGCGCGATACAGGCGACTGCGACGACGAAGGCACGCTGTTCTCCCTCGCTAACCTCAACATCACGTACGTCACTGTCACTTTTCCTCACCACGAATGAGGATTGAACGGCCTTTCTATGACTGTCTACAGTACCGACGCAAAGGTCCACAAATACCTCAAGGACATATACCTCCCTAATGCCAGCGACGCCGAGATCGACCAGATCCTCGCCGCATACCCATCCGACGTCACCCAGGGCTCGCCATTCGACACAGGCCTCTTCAACGTGCTCACGCCGCAGTTCAAGCGTCTGGCGGCCATCCAAGGCGACGTCGTGTTCCAAGCGCCGCGCCGGTTCTTCCTGCAGCAGCGGTCGGGAAAGCAGAACACCTGGTCGTTCTGTACGCCACCATTTTTTCCCCCGCGCGAGCCGCCGTCCCGATCGCTCTCCGTCTTTCACAGTGAACAAGCGTCTGAAGGCGCTCCCCGTGCTCGGATCGGTACGTTCCCTCGTCTCGCTTTTTTGACCGCGCGAGTGCGTGTGTATTGATCACCGGCGTTGAAACAGGCGCACGCGACGGACATCTTGAACGCGTTCGGGGGCGGCGACATGGCGGCGTACCTCATCCGCTTCGCGACGAACCTCGACCCGAACGGCGGCAACAACCTGGCGTGGCCGAAGTACACGACGGGGTCGCCGAAGCAGCTCACGTTCTTGGACGGGCTGATTCCCGAGGTGCTCACGGACGACACGTACCGCACGCAAGGGTTCAACGTGCTCACGACGCTGTCCGGGAAGTACCCGATTTGAGGGGAAAGTATATGGAATGGCACTGTATTTTGTAGGGCTTCAGTTGTACCGTCCCACTTTTTGGAAGCTCTTCCCACACCGTCAGACCGTCCGACGACTTTACGGAGATGTTACTTATGTACGGACTGCAACGCCGAAAACAATGTATCGATGATTCACGTTCCTTGTACGTGATAGTACTATCACTGGTCTAGGTCGTTGCTTCCATGGCCAGTGAGATGTAGGGTCGAAGACTGGTAAGTTCTTTGATAGCATATGCAACCCCTTGGAAAGAATCGGAATGCCGCCACTGGTGCTGCGGTCCTCAAAAACTCAGGTCGGCATTTCGACTGGGACACGGATGATCACGTGAGATTTCGTTGACATCAACTCCGCGTCGCGCCGTCGCCTCTCTTCTCCTTGTCTCCGACCACGACCATCGTCGTCGCCGTCGCCGCTTCCACCACCCCGTCACCGTGACCGCTCCATGCCCAACACAGTAGTGTAGCCTCGCACTTGCTCTACCTAGTCATTGACCCTCCCAGTTACATCTCTTTCTCATCCTCCATTGTTGTACATGATTTAGGCGGCTCTTAGGTTGTTATAGGTGTGAGTCTTGACACTTGCTCACACTCAAGCATGGATGGCATGCTGCTTGCAGGGGTTCATCTGAAGAGAAGACT